CCCCTCCCTCCTCCCTCCTCCTCCCTCCTCTCACTCTTCTCCTCCTACTCACCCTCCTCCCCCTCCTCCTCTCACTCTCCTCCCTCCTCTCACTCTCCTCCTCCTCTCACTCTCCTCCCCTGCTCCGCTCACTCTCCCTCCCTCCCTCTCACTCTCCTCCTCCTCACTCCCCCTCCTCCTCTCACTCTCTCCTCCTCCTCCCCCTGCTCCTCTCACCTCCTCCCCTCCTCCTCTCACTCTCCTCCCCACATCCTCTCCTCCTCACCTTTCTCCTCCCCTCCTCTCTCCCTCCTCCCATCACTCTCCTCCCCTCCGCTCACTCCCCCCTCCTCCTCTCACTCTCCTCCCCACCTCCTCTCCTCCTCACCTCTCTCCTCCTCCCCTCTTCTCCTCTCTCTCCTCTCCACTAGAGACTACTCCCCACCTCCTCTCCTCCTCACCTCTCTCCTCCTCCCCTCTTCTCCTCTCTCTCCTCTCCACTAGAGACTACTCCCCACCTCCTCTCCTCCTCACCTCTTCCCCTCCCCTCTTCTCCTCTCTCTCCCTCCCTAGAGACTACTTTCCCCCCCTCCTCTCCTCCTCCCTCTCTCCTCCCCCCTCTTTTCCCCCTCTCTCCCCTCCACTAGAACTACTCCCCCACCTCCTCTCCTCCTCACCTCTCTCCTCCTCCCCTCTTCTCCTCTCTCTCCTCTCCACTAGAGACTACTCCCCACCTCCTCTCCTCCTCACCTCTCTCCTCCCCCCCTCTTCCCCTCTCTCCCCCCCTCTCCACTAAAAGACTACCCCCCACCTCCCCCCCCCCTCCCCTCCTCCCCCCCCCCCTCCCCTCTTCTCCCCCTCTCCTCCCCCCACTAGAGACTACTCCCCCCCTTTCCTCCCTCCTCCCCTCTCTCCTCCCCCCTCTTCTCCTCCTTTTCCCTTTTCCACAAAGAGACTACCCCCCAAACCTCCTCTCCCCCCAAACCTTCCTCTCCTCCCCACCCCTCTCCCCCTCACCCTTTTTCCCTCCTCCCCTTTTCTCCCCCTCTCCCTCTCCACTAAGACAAACTCCCCCACCTTTCCCCCCCCCCACCTCCTCTCCCCCCCCCCCTCCTCTCCTCCCCCCCATCCCCCTCCTCCCTCCCCCCCTCTCCTCCTCCCCTCTTCTCCTCTCTCCCCTCTCCCCAGAGTACTCCCCTCCCCCCTCCTCCCCTCCTCCTCTCCTCCCCCCCAACCTCCTTTTCCTCCTCACCCTCTCCTCCCTCCTCCCCTCTTCCCCCTCTCTCCCTCTCCCCTAGAGACTACCCCCCCCCCTCCTCTCCTCCCCCCTCCTCCCTCCCTCCCCCCTTCCTCCCCTCCTCCCCTTTCTCTTCCCCCCCCCTCTTCTCCCTCTCCCCTCTCCACTAAGACTATTTTCCCACCCCCTCCCCTTCTCCTCACCTCCCCCTCCTCCCCTCTTCCCCCCTTTTCTCCTCTCCACTAGAGACTACTACCCCCCACCCCCTCCCCTCCTCACCTCCCCCTCCTCCTCCCCCTTCCCTCTCTCTCCTCCTCTCCACTAGAGCCCTATTTTTCCCCCCCTCCTCTCCTCCTCACCTCCTCCTCCCCCCCTTTTCCTCCCTCTCCCCTTTCCCCACTAGAGACTACCCCCCACCCCTCTCCCCCCTAAACCTCTCTCCTCCCCCCCCTCTTCTCCTCTCTCTCCTCCCACTAGAGACTACTCCCCCCCCTCCTCCCTCCTCACCTCTCTCCTCCTCCCCCCCCCTTTCTCCTCCTCCCCACCTCTCCACTAGAGACACCCCCCCACCATCCTCTCCCCCCCACCTCCTCTCCCCCCCACCTCCTCTCCCCCCCCCACCTCCCCCTCCCCCCCTAAAACCTCCTCCTCCTCCCCTCTTCTCCCCCCTTTTCCCTCTCCACTAAGGGCCAAACTCCCCCCCCCTCCTCTCCTCCCCCCCAAATCCTCTCCTCCCCACCCCCTCCTCTCCCCCCCAAACCTCCTCTCCCCCCCACCCGTCCTCTCCTCCTCCCCTCTCTCCTCCTCCCCTCTTCTCCTCTCTCCCCCCTCCCCCCACTAAGACTACCCCCCCCCCTTTTCCCTCCCCCCTCCTCCCCTCCCCCCTCCCCCCTCCTCCCCCCCCCCACCTCTCTCCTCCCCCCCCCTTCTCCTCTCCTCCTTTTCACTAGAGACTATCCCACCCTTCCCCTTTCCTCCCCACCCCTCCCTTTTCCTCCCCACCCCCTCTCCTCCCCACCTCCTCCCCCCCCCCTCCTCTCCTCCTCCCCACCCCCTCCCCCTCCTCCCCTTTTCTCCTCCTCTCCCCCTCCCCCTAGAGCCTAGATTTCACCCCCCTCCCCCTCCTCCTCCCCCTCTCTCCTCCCCCCTCTTCCCCCAAACCCCCTCCCCCTCCTCCCACTAGAGATTTAACTCCCCACCCCCTTTCTCCCCCCCCCTCCTCTCCTCCCCACCTCCTCCCCCCTCCCCACCCTTCCTCTCCCCTCCCCCCCTCTCTCCCCCCCTCCCCCCCTTCTTTCTTCTCTCCCTCTCCACTAAGACACTTCCCCCCCTTCCTCTCCTCCTCACCTCTCTCCCCTCCCTCCCCCCCTTCCCCTCTTCTCCTCTTCCCCTAAACAAAGGATTTAACTCCCCACCTCCTCCCTCCCCCCCCCAACCCCCTTTTCCCCTCCCCATTTTTCCTCTCCCCCCCCCCCCCTCTCCCCTCACCCTCTCTCCTCCTCCCCCCCCCCTTCCCTTCCCTCTCTCTCCTCTCCACTAGAGACTCTCCCCCCCCCTCCTTTTCCTTTCCCCCTCCTCTCCTCCCCACCTCCTCTCCTCCCCACCCCCTCCCTTCCCCCCAAACCCTCCTCTCCTCCTCACCTCTCTCCCCCTCCCCTCTTTTCCCTCTCTCCCTCCCACTAGAGACTACCCCCTCCTCCTCCTCCCCCCCCTCCCCCTTCCTCCCCCCTCCTCTCCTCCCCCCTCTCCTCCCACCCCCTCCCCTCCTCCCCTTTTCCCTCCTCTCTCTCCTCTCCACTAATACCTACCTCCCCCCTCTTCTCCCCCCCACCTCCTCTCCTCCCCACCTCCTCTCCTCCCCACCTCCTCCCCTTTCCCCCCCCTTCCTTTCTCCTCCTCCCCCTCTCTCCTCCTCCCCTCTTTTTCCTCTCTCTCCTCTCCACTAGAGACTACTCCCTCCTCCTCTCCTCCTCACCCTCTCCTCCCCCCCCTTCTTTTTCCACTCTCTCCTCCCCCTTTAGAAAACACTCCCCCCCCACCTCCCCTCCTCCCCACCTCCTCTCCTCCCCAAACCCTCCTCTCCTCCCCCCCCTCCTTTTCCTCCTCACCTCTCTCCCCCTCCCCCCCCCTTTCTCTTCTCTCTCCTCCCACTAAAAGATTTACTCCCCCACCCTCCCCCCCTCCCCCCCCCCCGTCCTCCCCACCTCCTCTCCTCCCCACCTCCTTCCTCCCCTCCCCCAACCGGGGGTCCCCCCTCCCTCCCCACCTCCCCCCTCCTCCTCCCCCTTTTCCCCCTCCTCCCCCCTCTTCCCCTCTCTCTTCCTTTTCCACTAAGACTACTCCCCCCTTTCCTTTCCTCCTCCCCTCCTCCTCTCCTCCCCCCTCCTCTCCCCCTCCCCTCTCCCCTCCTCCCCTCTTCCCTCCTCTCCTCTCCACTGGAGCCCTACCCCCCCCTCCTCTCCCCCCCCACCCCCTCTCCCCTCCCCCCCCCGCCCCTTTCTCCCCCCCCCACCCTTTCCCCCCTCCCCCCCTCACTCCTCCTCCTCCCCCTTTTCCCTCCTCTCTCCCCCCTCCCCAAACTAGAAACTAACTACCCCCACCTCCTCTCCCCTCCCCCTCTCTCCTCCCCCCCTCTTCCCCCTCTCCCCTCCTCCCCCCTTAGAGACACCCCCTTCCCCTCCCCCTCCCCCTCCCCCCTTTCCCAAACCTCTCTCCTCCTCCCCTTTTCCCCTCCTCTCTCTCCTCTCCACTAGAGACTACTTCCCCTCCTCCTCTCCCATCCCATCTGTTTATTTATCTTCCCAAATCATTCCATGCTGAATGTGTTTATCTTAAAACACCTTTTTCTATACCCCAGATGAAAACATTTTAATCTCAGACCATATTTACAGGTTCTAGATCTTTTGGAATCTTTATGAAAGATGTCATTGTAAAAGCATTTACTCGTAAAAGGTAATGCGGGGTTTCCATGGGGACTGTTTTGGGTTTCCATGGGGACTGTTTTGGGTTTCCATGGGGACTGTTTTGGGTTTCCATGGGGACAGTTTTGGGGTTCAATGGGGGCTGATCTCTGATCTGTCTGTTCTTGACCACTAACCCTTGACAGAGGCAGAGCTGTGTGGAGCTGATATAGCCTCAATAGACCTGACTACCCTGGAGGTCCTTCACATCTCCAGTCTGGAGGAGAGAGAGCAACTCCTATCAGCTGTATACAGAGAGCTACACCCACCCAGCACCACCTCACAGAGACTGGACTCACTGCTGGGTATGATCAATTAATCAGCTGATCAACCGATCAATCCATCTGTCATCAATTCCAAACTGGGAGGCAGGTAGCCAAGTGGTTAGAGCATTGGGCCAGTAACCGAAAGGCCGCTGGTTCGAATACCCGAGCCGACAAGGTGAAAAATCTGTTGATGTGCCCTTGAGCAAGGCACTTAACCCTCATTTGCTCCAGGGGTGCCGTACTACTATGGCTGACCCTGTAAAACAACACATTTCACTGCACCTGTCCAGTGTATGTGATGCTTTTTGGGGGGGTTAATTGATCAGACGATCCATCTATCTATCAATCTATCTGCCAATCAGTCAATCAACCAACCTATTAATCAATCAATCAATGATTGATCGAAAGGTTGCTGGATCGAATCTCCGAGCTGACAAGGTAAAAATCTGTCGTTCTGCTCCTGAGCAAGACAGTTAACCCACTCTTCCCCGGGGCGCCGATGACGTGGATGTCGATTAAGGCAGCGCTCCGCTCCTCTCTCATTCAGAGGGGTGGGGTTAAATGCGGAAGACACATTTCAGTTGAATGCATTCAGTTGTACAACTAGATTTCCCCCTTTCCATTTCCCGTTCCCTTTATTGATGCATGTGTCATCTCAACAAGTACGGCGTTCATAAGTCATACGAATAATAATTGATTGGATTTATATAGTGTTTTTTTTCCCCCAGATTATCAAAGCGCTTTTTCAATGTAACTTCCCCAATCCTCCATCAAGTAGCTAGCTTTCTCTCCTCGTAGAAACCTTTGGTCATAACAACATAGAGAAATTCACAGCGGCAGTGGTGACCATGAGCCAATCAAAGTCCTCTCCGCATGTAAGCTGCCTCAACATGAATCAAATGAAATCCTTTACGTTCAGGTATGTATTCCTAACTATTCCCAGTACTGACTCATATTCTATTCTGTTCTATTCTATTCTATATTGTCAATATGACCCAAGTGTGTATTTTATTTTCTCCCTGTAACAGATGCAAAAGCCCGAACCCTATGAACCAGAGGAACTCTCTGCTGATGGAGATCACCATAAATGGTTTCTTGATATAAAATCTGTTAAGAATCAATGTGTACAATACTTCTATATATCTCATGACTGGTCATTCTACTGGTACCTCAACTAGCTAGTGATTCCATATGGACTGCCCCGCTGATCATAATGTCATGGTGTGTGATTCAGCGTCGGTGCAGACTGTCCACCTGCGGACCCCCAGAGAGAACACGGTGGGGAAGGTGATGGAGTCCTGTCTTAGGATGCTGGGAATGATTGAGGACAAGGACCTCTTCAGCCTCACAGACAAACCAGGTCTGCGTTAACCACTCAAAGTATGAATGATGGAATTACTGACTGACAGACTGACTGACTGGCTGACTGACTGGCTGAGACTGACTGGCTGGCTGACTGGCTGAGGCTGACTGGCTGAGGCTGACTGGCTGACTGACTGGCTGAGACTAACTGGCTGGCTGAGACTGACTGGCTGACTGACTGAGGCTGACAGACTGGTTGACTGACTGGCTGACTGGCTGACTAAATGGCTGGCTGACTGGCTGAGACTGACTGGCTGGCTGACTGGCTGAGACTGACTGGCTGGCTGACTGGCTAAATGGCTGGCTGACTGGCTGAGACTGACTGGCTGACTGACTGGCTGAGACTAACTGGCTGGCTGAGACTGACTGGCTGACTGACTGAGGCTGACAGACTGGTTGACTGACTGGCTGACTGGCTGACTAAATGGCTGGCTGACTGGCTGAGACTGACTGGCTGGCTGACTGGCTAAATGGCTGGCTGACTGGCTGAGACTGACTGGCTGACTGACTGGCTGAGACTAACTGGCTGGCTGAGACTGACTGGCTGACTGACTGGCTAACTGGCTGAGACTGACTGGCTGAATGGCTGAGACTGACTGGCTGGCTGACTGACTGGCTAAATGGCTGGCTGACTGGCTGAGACTGACTGGCTGACTGACTGGCTAAATGGCTGGCTGACTGGCTGAGACTGACTGGCTGGCTGACTGGCTAAATGGCTGGCTGACTGGCTGAGACTGACTGGCTGACTGACTGGCTGAGACTAACTGGCTGGCTGAGACTGACTGGCTGACTGACTGGCTGAGACTGACTGGCTGACTGACTGGCTGACTGGCTGAGACTGACTGGCTGACTGACTAAATGGCTGGCTGACTGGTGACTGATGGCTGATGACTGGCTAGATGGCTGTACTGGGACTGACTGGCTGGTGAACTAGTAATGGCTGGGACGCTGAGACGTGACTGGCTGACTGACTGGCTGAGACTAACTGGCTGGGCTGAGACTGACTGGCGATGCTGGCTGAGACTGACTGGTGGATTGACTGGCTGACTGGCTAGACTGACTGGCTGATGACTAAATGGTGCTGACTGCTGAATACTGACTTGTGAGATGCGGCTGGATTGACAGACTGCTACAGACTGGCTGACTGGTAGACTGCAAAATTGATTGCTGAGGCCTGAAAGGCTGACTGGGGTCTGACTGGCTGACTGGCTGACTGTAGACAAAGATTTATTCAGCCTAACTGAAACCAGGTTCGGACTCTACTTTATGTGACTTGACTTGTAGTAAAGGCAGAGGGTTACGCTAGTAAGGTTAAAGGTTAGGTTACTAGGGTTACGCTAGTAAGGTTAAAGGTTAGGTTACTAGGGTTACGTTAGTAAGGTTAGGTTACTAGGGTTACGCTAGTAAGGTTAAAGGTTAGGTTACTAGGGTTACGCTATTAAGGTTAGGTTACTAGGGTTACGCTAGCAAACATTGACAACGACTATAGGAGTTGGCAAGACAGTACAAACAGATCTGGGACCAGACTACTTCTTGAGTAGGGTTGTGCCATACTATATAATCTAATGGCCATATAATTGATTGGTGACAATGAATAATGTTTATATCTGTGCTTTGAAGGTTCGTCAGTGGAGCTGTCACCAGACCAACAGATCATTGACTTAGCAAGCTCAGACAACAAACATCTAGAGTTGTACCTGTGCAAAAAGGTAAGCCTTGCATACCATTGTCACGTACAATTTACAGTCATCCAAGTCACAGACAACAGTTTGTTCTTGTGCTTAACAGAACAGTTGTGCTCTAGTCACATACAACATCTTATTATTTACAATGTAGAGTGTTGCTCTAGTCACAGACTGCTTGTTCTAGTGAAACAGAACAGAACAGCAGTAGATCAGTAGTCTATAGTGTCAGACAGAACAGCAGTAGATCAGTAGTCTATAGTGACAGACAGAACAGCAGTAGATCAGTAGTCTATAGTGTCAGACAGAACAGCAGTAGATCAGTAGTCTATAGTGTCAGACAGAACAGCAGTAGATCAGTAGTCTATAGTGTTAGACAGAACAGCAGTAGATCAGTAGTCTATAGTGTCAGACAGAACAGAACAGCAGTAGATCAGTAGTCTATAGTGTCAGACAGAACAGCAGTAGATCAGTAGTCTATAGTGACAGACAGAACAGCAGTAGATCAGTAGTCTATAGTGTCAGACAGAACAGCAGTAGATCAGTAGTCTATAGTGTCAGACAGAACAGAACAGCAGTAGATCAGTAGTCTATAGTGTTAGACAGAACAGCAGTAGATCAGTAGTCTATAGTGTCAGACAGAACAGCAGTAGATCAGTAGTCTATAGTGTCAGACAGAACAGCAGTAGATCAGTAGTCTATAGTGACAGACAGAACAGCAGTAGATCAGTAGTCTATAGTGTCAGACAGAACAGCAGTAGATCAGTAGTCTATAGTGACAGACAGAACAGCAGTAGATCAGTAGTCTATAGTGTCAGACAGAACAGCAGTAGATCAGTAGTCTATAGTGTCAGACAGAACAGAACAGCAGTAGATCAGTAGTCTATAGTGTTAGACAGAACAGCAGTAGATCAGTAGTCTATAGTGACAGACAGAACAGCAGTAGATCAGTAGTCTATAGTGTTAGACAGAACAGAACAGCAGTAGATCAGTAGTCTATAGTGTTAGACAGAACATAACAGCAGTAGATCAGTAGTCTATAGTGTCAGACAGAACAGAACAGCAGTAGATCAGTAGTCTATAGTGTTAGACAGAACATAACAGCAGTAGATCAGTAGTCTATAGTGTCAGACAGAACAGAACAGCAGTAGATCAGTAGTCTATAGTGTTAGACAGAACAGAACAGCAGTAGATCAGTAGTCTATAGTGTCAGACAGAACAGAACAGCAGTAGATCAGTAGTCTATAGTGTTAGACAGAACAGAACAGCAGTAGATCAGTAGTCTATAGTGTTAGACAGAACAGAACAGCAGTAGATCAGTAGTCTATAGTGACAGACAGAACAGAACAGCAGTAGATCAGTAGTCTATAGTGTTAGACAGAACAGAACAGCAGTAGATCAGTAGTCTATAGTGTTACACAGAACAGAACAGCAGTAGATCAGTAGTCTATAGTGTTAGACAGAACAGCAGTAGATCAGTAGTCTATAGTGACAGACAGAACAGAACAGTAGTAGATCAGTAGTCTATAGTGTCAGAAAGAACAGCAGTAGATCAGTAGTCTATAGTGACAGACAGAACAGCAGTAGATCAGTAGTCTATAGTGTCAGACAGAACAGCAGTAGATCAGTAGTCTATAGTGACAGACAGAACAGCAGTAGATCAGTAGTCTATAGTGTCAGACAGAACAGCAGTAGATCAGTAGTCTATAGTGACAGAAAGAACAGCAGTAGATCAGTAGTCTATAGTGTTAGACAGAACAGCAGTAGATCAGTAGTCTATAGTGTTAGACAGAACAGAACAGCAGTAGATCAGTAGTCTATAGTGTTAGACAGAACAGCAGTAGATCAGTAGTCTATAGTGTTAGACAGAACAGAACAGCAGTAGATCAGTAGTCTATAGTGTTAGACAGAACAGAACAGCAGTAGATCAGTAGTCTATAGTGTCAGACAGAACAGCAGTAGATCAGTAGTCTATAGTGTTAGACAGAACAGAACAGCAGTAGATCAGTAGTCTATAGTGACAGACAGAACAGCAGTAGATCAGTAGTCTATAGTGACAGACAGAACAGCAGTAGATCAGTAGTCTATAGTGTTAGACAGAACAGAACAGCAGTAGATCAGTAGTCTATAGTGTTAGACAGAACAGAACAGCAGTAGATCAGTAGTCTATAGTGTCAGACAGAACAGAACAGCAGTAGATCAGTAGTCTATAGTGTTAGACAGAACAGCAGTAGATCAGTAGTCTATAGTGTTAGACAGAACAGAACAGCAGTAGATCAGTAGTCTATAGTGTTAGACAGAACAGAACAGCAGTAGATCAGTAGTCTATAGTGTTAGACAGAACAGAACAGCAGTAGATCAGTAGTCTATAGTGTTAGACAGAACAGAACAGCAGTAGATCAGTAGTCTATAGTGTTAGACAGAACAGAACAGCAGTAGATCAGTAGTCTATAGTGTTAGACAGAACAGCAGTAGATCAGTAGTCTATAGTGTCAGACAGAACAGAACAGCAGTAGATCAGTAGTCTATATAGTTAAACAGAACAGCAGTAGATCAGTAGTCTATAGTGTTAGACAGAACAGAACAGCAGTAGATCAGTAGTCTATAGTGTCAGACAGAACAGCAGTAGATCAGTAGTATATAGTGTTAGACAGAACAGCAGTAGATGAGTAGTCTATAGTGACAGACAGAACAGAACAGCAGTAGATCAGTAGTCTATAGTGTTAGACAGAACAGCAGTAGATCAGTAGTCTATAGTGACAGACAGAACAGCAGTAGATCAGTAGTCTAAAGTGTTAGACAGAACATAACAGCAGTAGATCAGTAGTCTATAGTGTCAGACAGAACAGAACAGCAGTAGATCAGTAGTCTATAGTGTTAGACAGAACAGAACAGCAGTAGATCAGTAGTCTATAGTGTTAGACAGAACAGCAGTAGATCAGTAGTCTATAGTGTTAGACAGAACAGAACAGCAGTAGATCAGTAGTCTATAGTGTTAGACAGAACAGCAGTAGATCAGTAGTCTATAGTGTTAGACAGAACAGAACAGCAGTAGATCAGTAGTCTATAGTGTCAGACAGAACAGAACAGCAGTAGATCAGTAGTCTATAGTGTTAGACAGACAGAACAGCAGTAGATCAGTAGTCTCTAGTGACAGACAGAACAGAACAGCAGTAGATCAGTAGTCTATAGTGTCAGACAAAACAGAACAGCAGTAGATCAGTAGTCTATAGTGTTAGACAGAACAGAACAGCAGTAGATCAGTAGTCTATAGTGTTAGACAGAACAGCAGTAGATCAGTAGTCTCTAGTGTTAGACAGAACAGAACAGCAGTAGATCAGTAGTCTATAGTGTTAGACAGAACAGAACAGCAGTAGATCAGTAGTCTATAGTGTTAGACAGAACAGAACAGCAGTAGATCAGTAGTCTATAGTGTCAGAACAGAACAGCAGTAGATCAGTAGTCTATAGTGTCAGACAGAACAGCAGTAGATCAGTAGTATATAGTGTCAGACAGAACAGAACAACAGTAGATCAGTAGTCTATAGTGTTAGACAGAACAGAACAGCAGTAGATCAGTAGTCTATAGTGTTAGACAGAACAGAACAGCAGTAGATCAGTAGTCTATAGTGTTAGACAGAACAGAACAGCAGTAGATCAGTAGTCTATAGTGTCAGACAGAACAGAACAGTAGTAGATCAGTAGTCTATAGTGTCAGACAGAACAGCAGTAGATCAGTAGTATATAGTGTCAGACAGAACAGAACAGCAGTAGATCAGTAGTCTATAGTGTTAGACAGAACAGAACAGCAGTAGATCAGTAGTCTATAGTGACAGACAGAACAGAACAGCAGTAGATCAGTAGTCTATAGTGTTAGACAGAACAGCTGTAGATAAGTAGTCTATAGTGTTAGACAGAACAGCAGTATATCAGTAGTCTATAGTGTCAGACAGAACAGAACAGCAGTAGATCAGTAGTCTATAGTGACAGACAGAACAGCAGTAGATCAGTAGTCTATAGTGACAGACAGAACAGCAGTAGATCAGTAGTCTATAGTGTTAGACAGAACAGAACAGCAGTAGATCAGTAGTCTATAGTGTCAGACAGAACAGAACAGCAGTAGATCAGTAGTCTATAGTGACAGACAGAACAGAACAGCAGTAGATCAGTAGTCTATAGTGTCAGACAGAACAGCAGTAGATCAGTAGTCTATAGTGTTAGACAGAACAGCAGTAGATCAGTAGTCTATAGTGTCAGACAGAACAGAACAGCAGTAGATCAGTAGTCTATAGTGTCAGACAGAACAGCAGTAGATCAGTAGTCTATAGTGTTAGACAGAACAGAACAGCAGTAGATCAGTAGTCTATAGTGTCAGACAGAACAGACAGCAGTAGATCAGTAGTCGATAGTGTCAGACAGAACAGAACAGCAGTAGATCAGTAGTCTATAGTGTTAGACAGAACAGAACAGCAGTAGATCAGTAGTCTATAGTGTTAGACAGAACAGAACAGCAGTAGATCAGTAGTCTATAGTGTTAGACAGAACAGAACAGCAGTAGATCAGTAGTCTATAGTGTCCGACAGAACAGAACAGTAGTAGATCAGTAGTCTTTAGTGTTAGACAGAACAGAACAGCAGTAGATCAGTAGTCTATAGTGTTAGACAGAACAGAACAGCAGTAGATCAGTAGTCTATAGTGTTAGACAGAACAGAACAGCAGTAGATCAGTAGTCTATAGTGTCAGACAGAACAGAACAGCAGTAGATCAGTAGTCTATAGTGTCAGAACAGAACAGCAGTAGATCAGTAGTCTATAGTGTCAGACAGAACAGCAGTAGATCAGTAGTATATAGTGACAGACAGAACAGAACAGCAGTAGATCAGTAGTCTATAGTGTCAGACAGAACAGAACAGCAGTAGATCAGTAGTCTATAGTGTTAGACAGAACAGAACAGCAGTAGATCAGTAGTCTATAGTGTCCGACAGAACAGAATAGTAGTAGATCAGTAGTCTCTAGTGTTAGACAGAACAGAACAGCAGTAGATCAGTAGTCTATAGTGTTAGACAGAACAGAACAGCAGTAGATCAGTAGTCTATAGTGTTAGACAGAACAGAACAGCAGTAGATCAGTAGTCTATAGTGTCAGACAGAACAGAACAGCAGTAGATCAGTAGTCTATAGTGTCAGAACAGAACAGCAGTAGATCAGTAGTCTATAGTGACAGAACAGAACAGCAGTAGATCAGTAGTCTATAGTGTCAGACAGAACAGCAGTAGATCAGTAGTATATAGTGTCAGACAGAACAGAACAGCAGTAGATCAGTAGTCTATAGTGTTAGACAGAACAGAACAGCAGTAGATCAGTAGTCTATAGTGACAGACAGAACAGAACAGCAGTAGATAAGTAGTCTATAGTGTTAGACAGAACAGCAGTAGATAAGTAGTCTATAGTGTTAGACAGAACAGCAGTATATCAGTAGTCTATAGTGTCAGACAGAACAGAACAGCAGTAGATCAGTAGTCTATAGTGACAGACAGAACAGCAGTAGATCAGTAGTCTATAGTGACAGACAGAACAGCAGTAGATCAGTAGTCTATAGTGTCAGACAGAACAGAACAGCAGAAGATCAGTAGTCTATAGTGTTAGACAGAACAGAACAGCAGTAGATCAGTAGTCTATAGTGTCAGACAGAACAGAACAGTAGTAGATCAGTAGTCTATAGTGTCAGAACAGAACAGCAGTAGATCAGTAGTCTATAGTGACTACTGATCTACTGCTGTTCTGTTCTGTCTAACACTATAGACTACTGATCTACTGCTGTTCTGTTCTGTCTAACATTATAGACTACTGACCTACTACTGTTCTGTTCTGTCTTACACTATAGACTACTGATCTACTGCTGTTCCGTTCTGTCTAACATTATAGACTACTGACCTACTACTGTTCTGTTCTGTCTTACACTATAGACTACTGATCTACTGCTGTTCCGTTCTGTTTAACACTATAGACTACTGATCTACTGCTGTTCTGTCTAACAATATAGACTACTGATATACTGCTGTTCTGTCTAACACTATAGACTACTGATCTACTGCTGTTCTGTTCTGTCTGACACTATAGACTACTGATCTACTGCTGTTCTGTTCTGTCTAACACTATAGACTACTGATCTACTGCTGTTCTGTTCTGTCTAACACTATAGACTACTGACCTACTACTGTTCTGTTCTGTCTTACACTATAGACTACTGATCTACTGCTGTTCCGTTCTGTCTAACACTATAGACTACTGATCTACTGCTGTTCTGTTCTGTCTAACACTATAGACTACTGATCTACTGCTGTTCTGTTCTGTCTAACACTATAGACTACTGATCTACTGCTGTTCTGTCTAACACTATAGACTACTGATCTACTGCTGTTCTGTCTAACACTATAGACTACTGATCTACTACTGTTCTGTTCTGTCTAACACTATAGACTACTGATCTACTGCTGTTCTGTTCTGTCTAACACTATAGACTACTGATCTACTGCTCTTCTGTTCTGTCTGACACTATAGACTACTGATCTACTGCTGTTCTGTCTGTCACTATAGACTACTGATCTACTGCTGTTCTGTCTGACACTATAGACTGCTGATCTACTGCTGTTCTGTCTGTCACTATAGACTACTGATCTACTGCTGTTCTGTCTGTCACTATAGACTACTGATCTACTGCTGTTCTGTCTGACACTATAGACTACTGATCTACTGCTGTTCTGTCTAACACTATAGACTACTGATCTACTGCTGTTCTGTCTAACACTATAGACTACTGATCTACTGCTGTTCTGTTCTGTCTGACACTATAGACTACTGATCTACTGCTGTTCTGTTCTGTCTAACACTATATACTACTGATCTACTGCTGTTCTGTTCTGTTTAACACTATAGACTACTGATCTACTGCTGTTCTGTTCTGTCTAACACTATAGACTACTGATCTACTACTGTTCTGTTCTGTCTAACACTGTAGACTACTGATCTACTGCTGTTCTGTTCTGTCTAACACTATAGACTACTGATCTACTGCTGTTCTGTTCTGTCTAACACTATAGACTACTGATCTACTGCTCTTCTGTTCTGTCTGACACTATAGACTACTGATCTACTGCTGTACTGTTCTGTCTAACACTATAGACTACTGATCTACTGCTGTTCTGTTCTGTCTAACACTATAGACTACTGATCTACTGCTGTTCTGTCTAACACTATAGACTACTGATCTACTGCTGTTCTGTTCTGTCTAATACTATAGACTACTGATCTACTGCTGTTCTGTCTGTCACTATAGACTACTGATCTACTGCTGTTCTGTTCTGTCTGTCACTATAGACTACTGATCTACTGTTGTTCTGTCTAACACTATAGACTACTGATCTACTGATGTTCTGTTCTGTCTAACACTATAGACTACTGATCTACTGCTGTTCTGTTCTCTCTGTCACTATAGACTACGGATCTACTGCTGTTCTGTTCTGTCTAACACTATAGACTACTGATCTACTGGTGTTCTGTTCTGTCTAATACTATAGACTACTGATCTACTGGTGTTCTGTTCTGTCTAATACTATAGACTACTGATCTACTGCTGTTCTGTCTAACACTATAGACTACTGATCTACTGCTGTTCTGTCTAACACTATAGACTACTGATCTACTGCTGTTCTGTTCTGTCTGACACTATAGACTACTGATCTACTGCTGTTCTGTTCTGTCTAACACTATAGACTACTGATCTACTGCTGTTCTGTTCTGTCTAACACTATAGACTGCTGATCTACTGCTGTTCTGTTCTGTCTAACACTATAGACTACTGATCTACTACTGTTCTGTTCTGTCTAACACTGTAGACTACTGATCTACTGCTGTTCTGTTCTGTCTAACACTATAGACTACTGATCTACTGCTGTTCTGTTCTGTCTAACACTATAGACTACTGATCTACTGCTGTTCTGTTCTGTCTGACACTATAGACTACTGATCTACTGCTGTATGTTCTGTCTAACACTATAGACTACTGATCTACTGCTGTTTGTTCTGTCTAACACTATAGACTACTGATTACTGCTGTTCTGTCTAACACTATAGACTACTGATCTATTGCTGTTCTGTTCTGTCTAACACTATAGACTACTGATCTACTGCTGTTCTGTCTGTCACTATAGACTACTGATCTACTGCTGTTCTGTTCTGTCTGTCACTATAGACTACTGATATACTGCTGTTCTGTCTAACACTATAGACTACTGATCTACTGATGTTCTGTTCTGTCTAACACTACAGACTACTGGTCTACTGCTGTTCTGTTCTGTCTAACACTATAGACTACTGATCTACTGCTGTTCTGTCTGTCACTATAGACTACTGATCTACTGCTGTTCTGTTCTGTCTGTCACTATAGACTACTGATTACTGCTGTTCTGTCTAAAACTATAGACTACTGATCTACTGTTCTGTTCTGTCTAAACTATAGACTACTGATCTACTGCTGTTCTGTTCTGTCTAACACTATAGACTACTGGATCTACGCTGTTCTGTTCTGTCTAACATATAGACTGATCTATGCTGTTCTGTTCTGTCTGACATATAGACTACTGATCTACTGCTGTACTGTTCTGTCTAACACTATAGACTACTGATCTACTGCTGTTCTGTTCTGTCTAACACTATAGACTACTGATCTACTGCTGTTCTGTCTAACACTATAGACTACTGATCTACTGCTGTTGTCTAACACTATAGACTACTGATCTACTGCTGTTCTGTTCTGTCTAACACTATAGACTACGGATCTACTGCTGTTCTGTCTAACACTATAGACTACTGGTCTACTGCTGTTCTGTTCTGTCTAACACTATAGACTACTGATCTACTGCTGTTCTGTTCTGTCTAACACTATAGACTACTGATCTACTGCTGTTCTGTTCTGTCTGACACTATAGACTACTGATCTACTGCTGTACTGTTCTGTCTAACACTATAGACTACTGATCTACTGCTGTTCTGTTCTGTCTGTCACTATAGACTACTGATCTACTGCTGTTCTGTCTAACACTATAGACTACTGATCTACTGCTGTTCTGTTCTGTCTAACACTATAGACTACTGATCTACTGCTGTTCTGTTCTGTCTAACACTATAGACTACTGATCTACTGCTGTTCTGTTCTGTCTGACACTATAGACTACTGATCTACTGCTGTTCTGTCTGTCACTATAGACTACTGATCTACTGCTGTTCTGTTCTGTCTAACACTATAGACTACTGATCTACTGCTGTTCTGTCTAACACTATAGACTACTGATCTACTGCTGTTCTGTTCTGTCTAACACTATAGACTACTGATCTACTGCTGTTCTGTTCTGTCTAACACTATAGACTACTGATCTACTGCTGTTCTGTTCTCTCTAACACTATAGACTACTGATCTACTGCTGTTCTCTCTGACAGTAGAGACTACTATCAAGACTGTTTTGGCTTGTTTAAAACACTGTGGGTTGTGCACCAATTGTCTTTTTGTTCTAAATCCCACCAGGAGAAATCTAAAGGTGTAGTCCAGGCCCAATCCCCAGCTCCTACTTTTGGTGGTTCCCATGGCAATGGCCCTGTCAATCAAAACCACAAGGTACAGGTGGTCAGCCAGACCGGTAAAGAGGAAAAGATACGGGAACTCAACGAACAGGTGGACTCTCTACAGAACGTCATCCTGCAGGTGAAATAAAGTAGAGTATTCTTAATCATCCTTCTGGACCTACCACAGTAACAACAACAACAACAACAACAACAACAACTACTACTACTGCTACTACTACTACTACTACCACTACTGCTGCTACTACTACTACTATTACTACTACTACTACTACTACTACTGCTGCTACTACTAGTACTACTACTACTACTACTACTACTACTACTGCTGCTATTACTACTACTGCTAAAACTACTACTATTACTACTACTACTACTACTGCTACAACTACTACTACTACTACTACTACTACTACTACTACTACTACTACTACTACTACTACTACTACCACTTCCTGCTTGCTACTACACTACTACTACCGCTACGTACTACTCTACTACTACTGTTACTTACTACTACTACCAACCTATTGCTGCCTACTACTACTACTACTACTACTACTACTGCCTTGCCCTACTTACTACTTACTCCTAGTACTACTACTACTGACTCTGTAATACTCACTTACTACTACTCCTACCCTACTATACTCCTACTACTACTGCTACCACTTCTGCTGCTTACTACTACTACTGCGACTAACCTACTTACACTACTACTACTACTACTACTGGATACTACTATTACTACTGCTGCCTACTACTCTACTACTACTACTACTACTCCTGCTACCAATAACTCTACTGCTGCTACTACTGCTACTACTGACTACTACTACTACTACTACTACTACTTACACTACTACTACTCCTACTACTACTACTACTGCTGCTACTACTACTACTTACTACCTGCTACCACTACTACTGCTACCACTACAACTTACCTGACTGCTACTACTTGCTTACTACTACTACTACTACTTACTTACTTACATACTACTACTAGACTACTTGACTACTACTACGCACTACTACTTGCTACTACTATTACACTACTATCCTACTACTACTACTACTACTAAACTAACTACTACTACTACTACACTACTACTGCTACTACTACTACTACTACTACTACTACTACTACTACTACTTACACTACTGCTCTACTTACTACTACTATACTACTACTACTACTACTACTACTGACTGCTACTACTACTACTACTCTACCTATCTACTCTACTACTACTTACTACGCCTACTATATCTACTATACTCACTACTTCTACTACTACTACTACTATCTACTCTTACTTCATTCTACTACTATCTTACTACTATCTCTCTATCTACTATCACTATCACTACTCTATATCAATTTTACTATTTATACTACCACTCTACTATACACTAGCTACTATCTCGAATGCTGTACAGACACCTCACCTACTACTAACCCTAAACACTGTTTATAATGCAGGTGTAGCACACTACTGTATGATAAAACTTCTTCTCTCTTACTCTCTTCTTCTTCTTCTTCTCTTCTTCTTCTTTCTTCTTCTTCTTTCTTCTCTATCTTCTTCTTCTTCTTCTTCTTCTTCTTCTTCTTCTCCTTCTTCTCATGTTGACCCCATGGGTAGGAGATCGACCACGGCCTTGTAGCCTTCTGCCAGCATAGCATAGCATCCAGGGGCCTTTAATTCATTGTTGACTCCTAATGTTGACCCCAGGTGCAGGAGATCCACCACAGCCTGGTAGCATTCTGTTCAGAGCTGAAGAGAATGGATGGAGAGGTGGATGCGTCGGGGCTGAGATCCCCAGAGCTGGAGCAGCGCCTGGGGCTGGCTCTGGGACAGCTCAGGGACAAGAGACACAGTCTACAGAGCCTCAGAGAGACCACGAGAGACACAGACGCACACAGGAACAAGTAGGTTTATAACAAAGACTACTGTTCCCATAATGCAATGCACCAAGGAAAATGTAACTTTGATGTGAGACGCATTGTGTCATATTGGTCTCTCAGACAGGGCTGGGTATTGATGGAATTAAACATATTGATGGGAATTGAACTGTCGCCATCAGGTTTCAGGCTTGCCTCTCCAACTAGGCTCCCTACCGCCCTATTACGGACAAAATATTCATAGTAGGTCTAGTAGGGATGTTTGAGACAAGCATTTGTGACCATAACAAATCACACTTTTGATTTAGAGTTTTTAAAACTTTGGTCTCCGGTATCCTAAACCTGTTTAAAAAATAAATAAAAAAAATGTCCTATAGCGTGTTATATGTTCCCAACCAATTAAAATTCTTACACCATGTTCAGAGTGAGTCCATACTCATTAAAAGGGAAGTGTATCAATCATATTTATGGTGACATTCACAACACATGGTGTGAAAAGCTACTCTGGTGGGAAAAAAGTGAAAGCAGTTAAAACAGCCCATCTTAACACTTTCTCATATTTCAAATCAACTTACTCACTCACTCACTCACTCACTCATTCACTCACTCACTCACTCCCTCACTCACTCACTCACTCACTCACTCACTCACTCACTCACTCACTCACTCACTCACTCACTCACTCACTCACTCATGCGTACATACAGTGCTATGAAAAGGTATTTGCCCCCTTTCTAATTTTCTCTACTTTTGCATATTTGTGATACTGAATGTTATCAGATCTTTAACCAAAACCTAATATGAGATAAAGGGAACATAAGTGAACAGATAACACAACAATTACATATTTATTTCATAAACAAAGTTATGCAACACCCAATTCCCCTGTGTGAAAAAGTAATTGCCCCCTTACACTCAATAACTGGTTGTGCCACCTTTAGCTGCAATGACTCCAACCAAATGCTTCCTGTAGTTGTTGATCAGTCTCTCACGTCGCTGTGGAGGAATTTTGGCCCAGTCTTCCATGCAGAACTGCTTTAACTCAGTGACGTGTGGGTTTTCAAGCATGAACTGCTCGTTTCGAGTCTTGCCACAACATCTCAATTGGGATTAGGTCTGGACTTTGACTAGGCCATTCCAAAACTTCCAATTTGTTGCTTTTTAGCTATTTTCATGTAGACTTGATTGTGTGTTTTGGATCATTGTCTTGCTGCATGATCCAGCTGCGCTTCAGCTTCAGCTCACAGACGGATGGTCTGACATTCTCCTGTAGAATTCTCTGATAGAGAGCAGAATTCATGGCTCCTTCTATTAAGGCAAGTCGTCCAGGTCCTGAGGCAGAAAATTCTACAGGAGAATGTCAGACCATTCAGTATCACAAATATGCAAAAGTAGAGAAAATTAGAAAGGGGGCAAATACTTTTTCATAGCACTGTATTTGCTGCTTTTGCAATCATTTGTGCACCTGCACAGTAAGTGTGAATGACTAGCCTGTTGTAGTTATGTTAGCGCAACACCTAGTGACATTTCTCATAGCGTGGGGACCTCTTGGTGCAACAGTTAAGCTCTTGAACTGACAGCAGCAGGGAGCCGAGATCTAGTGCCGTTTAGGGACTTCCCCTTAAATACTGTTATCCATTTATTCCCATGAAGCTCATCTCCTCCTGTGTCTGTGATATGTGATTGTCTCCTTGTAACTACCTGGTAAACATGATTTCATTTTGCTACTCCCTGTAACTACCTGGCAAATATTATTTTACTTTCTTTCTCCATGTAACTACCTGGTAAACATTACTTTATTTCTCCCTGTAACTACCTGGTAAACATTACTTTAATTCACTATGTCGTCCAGGTGATCAGAGGTGCTTTATGACTTGTTATAAGCATGTACTGTATGTCCTCATTACAAGGCATATAATACGTTATGTCATCTTAACCTTACAGGCGATCAGAGGTTCGTCTTCTGGATAAGATGAAGCTGAACTGTCAGGTGTTTAAAGAAGAGATCTCTCTGGTGCACCTCAACCGACAGGTATCCCATCTACAGAAAGCACTTCAGGACAGCCAAGACAAGGTACATTTACCTGTGTGTTACTGTGTTAACTCAACCTTAAACCTCCCTGGTTCACCTCAACAGACAGCTAGCTCATCGACAGGCAGCACTGCAGGACAGCCAAGACAAGGTAGTCCTAACCCCTGACCCCTGACCCCTGACCTCTAACCCTAACTCACCACCAGACTGCACTGCAGGACAGTCAAGACAAGGTAGTCCTAACCCCTGACCCTGACCTCTAACCCTAACTCACACCAGACTGCACTGCAGGACAGTCAAACAAGGTAGTCCTAACCCTGACCCCTGACCTCTAACCCTAACTCACCACCAGACTGCACTGCAGGACAGCCAAGACAAGGTAGTCCTAACCCCTGACCCCTGACCCCTGACCTCTAACCCTAACTCACCACCAGACTGCACTGCAGGACAGCCAAGACAAGGTAGTCCTAACCCCTGACCCCTGACCTCTAACCCTAACTGACCACCAGACTGCACTGCAGGACAGTCAAGACAAGGTAGTCCTGACCCCTGACCCCTGACCCCTGACCTCTAACCCTAACTCACCACCAGACTGCACTGCAGGACAGCCAAGACAAGGTGCCTTTGCTTTATCTCTGTACTAGAGTAAAACTGTAGCGTCCAAGATGTAATGTAATACGAGGTAATGAAGAGAAGAGATCACCACGTGAAGCGTATGAAGGAAGCTACTTAAATAGCCTGTACATACTTAGAAAAAAGGGTTCCAAAAGGGTTCCAAAAGGGTTCCTCGGCAGTCCCCATTAGGCATCCCTTTTTGGTTCCAGGTGGAACCCTTTTTGGTTCCAGGTAGAACCCTTTTTGGTTCCAGGTAGAACCCTTTTTGGTTCCAGGTAGAACCCTTTTTGGTTCCAGGTAGAACCCTTTTGGGCTCCCTGTAAAATGCTCTGTGGAAAGGCTTCTACATGGAACCCAAAAGGGTTCTACCTGCAACCAAAAAGGGTTCTTCAAACGGGTTCTTCTATGGGGACAGCTGAAGAACCCTTTTAGGTTCTAGATAGCACTTTTTTTTTTGTAAGAGTGTAAGTCTGCCCATTCAACGGCCCCTTCCTCACTGCCTCTCAACCCCCCACCTCTTTCCACCGTCTCACCCCCTCACCCCACCGTCCCCCTTTCCCCCCCGACAACCCCCCACCCATGGCGTGTGAATGCCTCGGAGCACTGGCTGCCGTCTTGCCGGACGGAGTCATAGGTGAAACTCTAAGGCCTCTCCTCAGACATGAGAGCCAGACAGGATATCTCTACGGAAACACAGCACAAGCCCCTTGAGAAACAGAGCGTAATATATCCCATAATTCTCTGCATCACCCTCTTACTCTGGCTCTGGTTTCCATTGCTTTAGCAGGCCTAACCCTAACCCTTTCTTTAGCAGGCCTAACCCTAACCCTTTCTTTAGCAGGCCTAACCCTAACCCTTTATTTAGCAGGCCTAACCCTAACCCTTTCTTTAGCAGGCCTAACCCTAACCCTTTCTTTAGCAGGCCTAACCCTAACCCTTTATTTAGCAGGCCTAACCCTAACCCTTGCTTTAGCAGGCCTAACCCTAACCCTTTCTTTAGCAGGCCTAACCCTAACCCTTTCTTTAGCAGGCCTAACCCTAACCCTTTCGTTAGCAGGCCTAACCCTAACCCTTTATTTAGCAGGCCTAACCCTAACCCTTGCTTTAGCAGGCCTAAACCTAACCCTTTCTTTAGCAGGGCCTAACCCTAACCCTTATTTAGCAGGCCTAACCCTAACCCTTTTCTTTAGCAGGCCTAACCCTAACCCTTTCTTTAGCAGGCCTAACCCTAACCCTTGCTTAGCAGGCCTAAACCTAACCCTTTCTTTAGCAGGCCTAAACCCTAACCCTTTATTTAGGCAGGCCTAACCTAACCCTTTCTTTACAGCCTAACCCTAACCCTTTCTTTAGCAGGCCTAACCCTAACCCTTTCTTTAGCAGGCCTAACCCTAACCCTTTCTTTAGCAGGCCTAACCCTAACCCTTTCTTTAGCAGGCCTAACCCTAACCCTTTCTTTAGCAGCCTAACCCTAACCCTTTCTTTAGCAGGCCTAACCCTAACCCTTTCTTTAGCAGGCCTAACCCTAACCCTTTCTTTAGCAGGCCTAACCCTAACCCTTTCTTTAGCAGGCCTAACCCTAACCCTTTATTTAGCAGGCCTAACCCTAACCCTTTCTTTAGCAGGCCTAACCCTAACCCTTTCTTTAGCAGGCCTAACCCTAACCCTTTATTTAGCAGGCCTAACCCTAACCCTTTCTTTAGCTGGACATATGCCAGACATGAGCCCAAAGAATTTTAATTGTTTTCAATTTCAGTGTGTTTGTCTAGAAGAGCTGGGGTAAATCCCTTGGTAGCTGGACGGGAGACATTACAGACACTAGACTAGATACTGTACAGACACATCTCAGACATGATCAACTGTGAATTAGTGTTATATAACAATAATGGTACTTCTTTTTTTAACAAAATCTTTATAAATGAATTAGAAAACTGCAGCGATTACAGCCTCGAGTCTTCTTGGGTATGACGCTACAAGCTTTGCACACCTGTATTTGGGGAGTTTCTCCCATTCTTCTCTGCAGATCCTCTCAAGCTCTGTCAAGTTGGAAGGAAGCTATTTTCAGGTCTCTCCAGAGATGTTCGATCGGGTTCAAGTCTGGGCTCTGGCCTCACCTCAGAAAAACTCCAGGGGGAGGCGAGGGGGAGGAGAAGCGATGGGGAGGGAAACGAGGGGGAGGGAAACGAGGGGGAGGGAAGCGAGGGGGAGGGAACGAGGGGGAGGGAAGCGAGGGGGATGGAAGCGAGGGGGAGGAGAAGCGAGGGGGGAGGAAAGCGATGGGAGGGAAACGATGGGGGAGGGAAGCGAGGGGAAGGAAACGAGGGGGAGGGAAGCGAGGGGGAGGGAATCGAGGAGTAGGGAAGCGAGGGGGGGGGAAGCGAGGAGGAGGGAAGCGAGGGGGAGGGAAGCAAGGGGGGGAGGGAAGCGAGGGGGAGGGAAGCGAGGGGGGGGGGGGAAGCGAGGAGGAGGGAGGGAAGCGAGGGGGAGGGAGTGTCATTCTTTCCCTTATATTGTCTGTCTAAAGCTCTTCGAAAATAGTTTCCACCATCTGTTGTTTCTTCCCCCCTCTCCTTCCATTTCTCCTACTTTCTGCCCCCTCTATCCCTACCTCCCTCCTTTCCTGCGTCCCCCCCCCCCCCCTGTACTCTCCAGTTGTATTGATCCAGATTGCACCCTTGGACTGATACTCTCAAATTGATTAAATAGTTCCTTATTGTCTGTTATCCAGAGAGAGGAGAGAGAGCTAACCAAACACACACACACCTGAATCTATTAGTTCCCAGGCTGCTCCCCCCCCCACCACCACCCTCCGGTCTGTGAACCTGACCCCGTCTCTGATTAGGTCATATGATAAACATTAGCTCGGCCGCTTTTCCCACCAACTCACCACCTAAAAAGGCTCTGCTGCTCTGAGAGAGACTAGTCCCTGGTCTGGGCCTTGAAACCCCTGGGGCCACAGTAACATTACAGGCCCCCTCCACAGTAACGTGACACGCCCCCTCCTGTTCAAAGCGAGAGCCGCGTGTGTCCTTTCATAGCACCTCGTTAGCTGCTCCTCCCCCCGGGGATAACAGGCAGAACGTTCAAAAAGAAAAACAGAAGAGAGAAAAAGGTTCTCCGACTCCTCTGGGGATGGGGGGGGGGGGGGGGGGTGAGAGTTTTACACACCTAGCCCCGTTTCTCTCTCTCTCACTCTCTCTCTCTCCCTCTCTCCCCCTCCTCTCTCCCTCTCTCCCTCCTCTCTCCCTCTCTCTCTTCCACCTCTGTCCCTCTCTTCTATCTCTCCCTCTCTCTCTCTCTCTCTCTCTCTCTCTCTCTCTCCCTCTCTCCCTTTCTCTCCATCCTCTCTCTCTCCTTTCCCTCTCTCCCTCTCTCCTTCCTGTTCCTCCAGTGGCTTTGTCACCAGCATTCCATTGTTGGTATGGTCACAGGCTCTCGGGTGTCACAGCTCTACAGATCAGTGCGCGTGTGTGTGTGTGTGTGTGTGTGTGTGTGTGTGTGTGTGTGTGTGTGTGCTTACTTGCAGGTTCCTTCCAGACAATGCAACACCAATAAGAAATACAGTTTTTTACAATCACTTTGGCACTAATTTCAGAACCTTGACGTAATTATTCAAAACTCTAGACACAAAACTCACAACCAATGATCAAAATGCACATTTTTCAAAACTCTAACACTTTTTTTCAATTGCTTGGATACAATAGACATAAAACTAAGATCATTTGTTCATTTAACAAAAATCACCTGTTCAATATGACACAACTTAACATCAAAGTACTACTATTTCAAAAGGCAATTCACACATTACATTTCAGATGAGTGTCTATTCATTTCATTACAATTATCCAACTATCAATTGATACAACTGCTCAAAATGATAAGTAACTGTTGCATTACTCTTAATGCATAGTTGTATGGAAACAGACAAACAATATTCCATGTTTAGATCATGAAAGTTTCAAGATAACGAGATTCATTGTCACCAATTAGCGTGGAGCATGAACCAATTAGACTACATTATCTATGGATGTAATATTTCATCATCATTCTTTATCAGACACCGTTTCTATGGTCCCATGTACCACCTTTTCAGACTATTTACAGTATTGACAGTACTGCACTGTATGGATGCAGGCCCTTGTAATTGCTTGTCCAATTCTGCCAACTTGTTACTGATGATTGAGTTCACATTATGGAACGAGTATATAAAGAATTGATTGGGATCCACTTGCAACAACATAGCTTTACATACTGTAACATGGAGCCGGCAGGTGATCCAGGTCACAATAGAGGTGAAGCAGTGGTGGGAGGAAGACGAGGAAGACGTGTTGGTCAAAGGAATGGTAGGGGACAAGCACCCCTTCTGAGAGGTGGTCGTGGGGCCTCGTTTGAGAGGTGTGGGGGAACGTGGTAGAGGACAAGGCCACGGACCAAGACAGCGGCAGCAACAGCAAAGAGTGTCCAATGAAATCCGAGCAAGCATGGTTTCAGGCCCATGCACAATTTACCACCCTGTATTTACCCCCCATACTCTCCTTTCCTTAACCCGATTGAGGAATTTTTCTCCACATGGAGATGGAAGGTTTTATGATAGGCGCCCTCATGAACAAGTCACTTTTCTCCAGGCCATGGATGACGCATGCAATGACATCACGGCAGACAAGTGTCAGGCCTGGATTCGCCATGCCCGAAGGTTTTTTCCAAGATGTTTGGCTAATGAAAACATCCATTGTGATGTAGATGAGAACCTGTGGCCAAATCCACAAGACAGAGTTGATGAAAATGTAGAAGTACAGTAATCACTCCTATGTTTTGCTTTTTACAGTACAAGCAAGCAAGTTGAGGAACACTGCATTTGATGTTTTACAGTACTGTATCGTTTTTCATCAACATATTTCAGATTTTGTTCAATGATTCCACTGTGTCGGTAGTATTCTCTCTACTACTGCAGTACTTTTACAGGGATGAATTTACATGTAGTACCATAATGAAACATGTATCACCTATTTTGTACTACAATATTTAATGATTGTACGAACAATGACACAGTGAAACTATCGGTTGCTTGTGTGTGGGTGATCTAAATTAACGTTTCATTGGTAAATTTGTTTTTTGAACCAATGATTGTGCAAGTGCAAGATTTCTTTAAAGATATGATGCCGTTGGGGGGGCCCTTTTTTTTGTTTTGGGGGGGTTGGGGGGTTTTGGGGGGTTTGGGGGAAAGGGGGTTTGGGGTTGTTGGGTTTTTTTTTTGGGGGGGGGGGGTTGGGTTTTGGGTGGGTGGGGGGGGGGGGTTTTTGGGTGGGGGTGGGGGTTTTGGGGGGGGGGGTTTTTTGGGGGGGGGTGGGGGGGTGGGGGGGGGGGCCCGGGGGGGGGGGGGGGGGGCAAAAGAAAAAGGGGAAAATTTTCCAAAAAGGGGAAAAAATTAATATTTATGGGGGGCCCCCCAAAAAAGGGCATTTTTTTTGGGGGTTTGGTTGGGGTTTGGGGGGGTTTTGGGGTGGTTGACCCAAGGTTTTTTGGGTTTGGTTAAAAAAAAATTTTTTGTGTTGGGTTTGGGGGTGGAAAGTTGTGTGTGGGGCGTTTTTTTTGGGGTTTTTGTGAAGGGGGGGGTGTTTTGATGTTTTTTTTGTTTTTTTTAAAATTTTTTTTTTTTGTTAATTTTTTTGTGTCGGTTTTTTTTTGGTTTTTTTTGGGGGGGTTTAAATTTTGGGGGGGGAGTTTTTGTTTTTTTGGTGTGCCGTTTGGGGGTTTTGGGGGGGGGGGGGTTTAAATTTTTTTTGGGGTTTGGTTTTTTGTGTTTGGGGCTTTTTTAAAAGTTGTTGGGGGGA